GCAATGGTCAGCTGGCCATCAACTCCACCTCTGCTTGAATTTGTGAGCTAACTGATTAAACAAAGAAAAAAATAAAATAGTGTCGCCCACTCCCGTATCCTGAATCCTCCTCTTAGTCTTCTTTATAAGGGCTTCCTGTGTACACAGGGGCAGACTAGCAGATCATAGGTAGATTTATGATTTTATTTAAAACAAGGGATCTACCTGATGGGAACTGTTTTTTCTCTTTCCTTAATAAAATAGGATAAATGGTTACACTTGGTATGGACAAGCAGAACAATTTCCAGATCAGCAATGAAGTACACAGGCATGCACAAAAGAAGTTTCCAGCCGAACTATGCTGACTCCTCTTCTGCAAGATGCCAATATTTCTTAAGCAAAAGAGTCAGTTAAGCAACTAAGTCTTCAAATTACCCTTTTCCTAACCATGCTTTCTCCCAGCTCCAGGGTTGCTGGCACCTCTTGGGTGCTAAGCTTGAGTTATTCTTGTTATGATCCACTGAACCCTAAAGGACATCACCACCAAAACAGTCTTAGACCCAAGAATTTAATGAAGAATTTCAGACCATCTTATTCTTTACTTCTTAAGGCCAAATACATAGTTTTGCATTAACATGGGAACAACTGCTGATCACTGTTGTATTAAATTCTTCATTTATCTGTAAGAAGTCCATGATGCCTGCAAATTAATTTTCACTGAACTTTGTCAGACACACTACAGAAATGTACCCCCATAACCTCTCAGCATGTTGAGCAGTGAAATATTCAACCTTAATTTGTTATACTGGATACAGCTCATTGTTCTCAGCTTCAAAAACAAGTCAGTGCCAGTTTGATGTGGGAGTTGTGGGAGTGTAATGAATTGATCCAACTCTGAACTAAATCTTGTTTTGGCATAAAAAATCCCAAAGCACTCAGTCAATCAACTGACCAAAAATAGATGATTTCATCCATAATCTAAAACTGCTCACTAGAGTTAAAAAATGTTCCAGGAAACATCTGAACTACTATGGAGACAGAAATAGGGGAAGGGGAAAAAACCCCAACAAAACTCAAGCCAGAGATGTTTCAATCAGCATAGCAAAACTCATGTACAAAATTCACAGCTATTGTAAGAGAACAAACCACAGACATGCATTTGTGATAAGTAAAACAGAGTAATATTAAATTAAACCAAAGTCTTGACCACCTGTACTTTTAAGCACATGTTAAAGTAAAAATCACATAGGTCTTCATTATCAACTCAAATAAATTTCATTATTGGCTTCCATATTTGGTAATTTCATTTTATTTTTAAGTAAGGAAATTTCTGCCACATCCATAATGGGCTATTCTTTCTTGGGGAACACTGGCCAGAATTCAAAGTGAAATAATGCAGATACTGAATATTTAAAAAAATTCTTTTGTGCTTTAGATAATATCACAATACTGTAGTAATCAGCCCTAATGTGACAGCAAGGACAGATATCAACCAATGCAGTTCATAACTAAAATTTACTATATTCACTATAAACTTTTCTGCAAGTCCACTTTAGTTAACAGTCACAGAATAAAAAGGTAGTGAAAATAATAAAGTACAGCAGATTAAGGCCCAGAGTTAGACTGAAGAGAACCTGTAAGCCTATGGAGAAACAGCATTTTAGTGAGGCTGTTCTGGTTTGTTTGGAATTTTTTTGTTTCCACGTTATTGAAAATGAACTAAGAAAAAATACTAACATTCTAAACAAAAAAATCCAGTAAAGATCCTGTGGTCTCTATAACTTTCCAGAACAATAATGTGTGTGACAGAAATAAGCAACAGGGGAGGTAGAAATCAATCATATTATTTATATTGCAGGTAAAAAGCTTAAAAATTTCCAACAGAAGTGGCTTCCTTTCCCAGAGCAGGTTACCAGATGATTCAGTTTTAATGAACCTATGCAGCTACTTTCATTGTTCTCAATTTTTAAAGAATGTGTTGCAGTTCTCCTCCCTGTAACCTAAAAAACCAATATATATATAAAATTCAGTCAGCATTTTCTCAAAGGGAAAATAATTTCTTTTGAAGTTTCATATTGCTGTATTTAATATCTTCTCACAGGTTTTCCAGAAAATGCAAAAAAAAAAAACCTTTCTTGAATTCAGAGAAAATAATGCTATGACATGGGATCATGACATGCTGTGTGGTAGACACAGGCAGTCAGACAAGTCACCTGAGCTATCTACAAGTACCCCATGGACACAAATGATTCTGCCTATCTCATTCCTCCAAGTTTCCTTGCTTCAACATCTGCTCTGGCAGTCTAGTGCTTAAGCAAGCATTTTCAGCTCATTAAACCAGCAAAAAAGCCCCCAACCCAACACAGCAAAAAACCAAACAAATGAACCCTCCAGTGAATCAAATTTAAAAAAACCAAACAAACCATGAGTAGGTCTCTAACAGCTCTCAGGCTGCAGCTTCACAGCAATCTAAGCCAAACTAACTTCTGACTGGCATAGGCTCTTACCTCCCTCTGGCTGCATATTCCTGCTCTTTCCCTTGTGCCAGCTTCAACATTCACCCAAAACCATTTCAGTGAGCTGAATCAAAAGACTCTCAACCACTGAAGAGAAATAGAAAAGTATCTCTGCTTGGATAATGCACCAGAACAGGTTGGTGCACGTTCTAGCAAGCACAAGGGCTGCAAGTGAGGCAGCCACCCAGTACAGTACATCAGCCCAGGCTACCACCAAACCACAACTCCAGTGACTTCACTCACCAACAGGTTGGACAAGCAGCAGAGCTGACACACAAGAGAGAGCAGAAGTGCACATCCCCAAAGGAGATCACACCTGTAGAGCAGCAGCAAGCTGATAGTTCAGTCTAGATGGCTTCATCCTACAGTACATGGCACAGCACAACTGTGACTGGCTTCAAGGGAAAATACTACTCATTCATTCCAGAGCCTCCTGTGCGCTGCTTCCCCAATAAACCCCTAACTAAGTCTGAGCATTCAGTAAGTCAGAAACACTTGTGAACTTTCACCTTTCAGCTCCCACTTTGCACACAGACCTTGCACCAGCAGGACAAAGGTGATCAACTGCCCTTATGCACTTCCATGCACAGACTGAACATAGCAGAAATTTAAGCTGCTTGCACTCACAATTAGTTTAACAGACTGAAATACTCAAGTTGACAGCCTGCTAAGGTGCCACTACATTTTTTAAACCCTACAACAAAATACCTCACAGGCTTATTTAACACCTATTTATATTACCATTTTGGCAATGTAACTGCACATTACATGCAAAAAAGCCCCACTCATTTTCAATACGTTTGTAAATAAAAGTACGTAAATAAAGGTCAGGTGAGGCAACAGCAGCAAACTCATCTACTTCAGATGATATTCTTCACTGATGCCTTAAGAATATTCCACTGGGAGTCTTGGTGGTGTTTTCCAGGGTAGAGATGTGCAAACAGATGGAAAGAAGGCGAGACAGCTCAAGCAGAATGCTGTTCATTCACACACACTTTACACCAGTAAGGAAAACAAACAGTGCTGGCCCGATTTCAAACGGTGTCTGTCAGGAAAAAATACTAGAATACTAAAAATTGAAAAAAACACCTTTTGTTACTGGTTAATAGCATTGTGCCAAATACAAATTCTGTGAACAAGCTTTGTTTCACAAGAAGGTGGCAAAGGTTATATACATATATAAACTGTAGAACCAATTCTTTGTTTTCCGCTAATAAAAACCTCTAGAAGAAACACCTTTAGAAAACAGACATCATAACCAGCAGCACGAACATTCTACTGTTGAGGAAACCATATGGGAACCAACACTGGTTTTTTGCACTCTACCCCAGACAAGGCAAAACCCTGCAGACAAGCCTAACCACAGTGGTTTCAATAAGGCCCTGCTAATCCTGCACCTGCACAGATAGGCATTGACATAACTTGAACCACTGAAGGCCACAAGGCCTGACTGTAGAAAGTTTTCCTCTAAGATCCCTCATGCTGCTGTGTTTTTGTCAACTACAAAGGGACACTCAACTTCTTGCTGCTCAAATGGATGCAAACTCATATGAATTGCAGGTGCTATATTGTTACAGCTGTATCATAATTATTAAAAATCAGAATATTTGGAATTCCACTTCAACTATGTAGCATTGCTGAGATTTTACCTGGAAACAGACCTTATGAAAATGATTCATTCTGGAAGGGATTTTACACTGATAGAAAAAGAAATGCTGCATTCACATCTCAGGGACTACAGGACAGTGACATGCCCGTTGACCCCCAATTAACAATGATGTCTGAATTAAATAATTTCAGCTGCTGCCAGGGTCCACTCGAGTTCATAATTTCAAACAAAAGCTTGCTGTTGTCTAGGTCTGCTCACTCCCTAGCTCCATTCCTTCCCACATGCACTGGTTCTTGCCTGTTCACCAGGGCCTGCTGTCCATACCTACAGAGAAATAGCTAAATGTGAAAAACTTTGCTATCTAGATGTTCCTCTACCGTGGCACTTTGAAAAAAAGGGGCATTTAATTTCCTGATAGGACATGCTATGCACTCGGACATGTCTGTGCTGGTCTGCACGTGCCCGTGTTAGCTTCAGGGTGCTGAAACAGTGGAACAGGCTGCCCAGAGAAGTTGTGGGTACCCTATCCCCGAACGTGCTCCAGGACAGGTTGGATGGGACTCTGAGCAACCTAGCCTAGTTGAAGGCGCCCTTGCTCACAGCAGGGGTGCTGGAACCAGGTGATCTTTAGGTCCCCTTCTAATTTAAACCACTGTATGACTATGATCAGTTCGGAGCAGGAGCAGGCTCTGGGGACGGCCCGCGGGCACACGCAGGCGGCTCGGATGCACCTGAGCTGAACCGAGCTGCCCCAGGGCGAGGCCGCCGGGGCCGGGACACCTCGGGGAGGCACCGCCAATGCCGCCCTGCCCCCGATAGGAATCCAGACACGGGGAGCGGGCCAGGGCCAGCCCAGAGGAAGCGACGCCACAGCCCGCCGCGCCCTCGCCGCTCACCTGCTGCCGAGCTCAGCGCGACCCTCCGGTGCCTCCTGCCGAGCTCCCGCAGCTCCTCCTCGTCCTCCTCCAGCCTCCAGGCTTCGGCCATCGGCGGCGGAGGGGCGGCTGGCAGCATTCAAGAAGCGGGGGCTGCCATGGCCGGCGCCCTCTCCTCGGCGCGGCCGCCCGGCCCTCGCGGCCGCCGGGCCCGCCCCGCACCTGCGCCCTCTCCGCCGCGCTCCTCCCGGAGACCGCTCTGCGCTGCTGCCGGCGGGCCGAGGCGGGAGGAGAGGAGGCCTTTCCTGCCCATCCGCGGCTCTCCGGCGTCAGCC